ACACACACACACAGACAAAAATTAGACAGTCGCGCTTGGTACGTTGGCAACTATTATGCAGCATTTTAATGACACTGTCATTTGCTCCTCACCTTGTCCATTTCTGGTAAAGACACAAGATGCAATACCACTGATGTCCTCTTTTCGGATGCAGTCATAGCGTACCTAAAAACAACAGGACAGTAGGACGGATGCAATTTTTTTGTTTGTTTTTTTCCAAATCGGTATCAATAAGCCTTTCAAGCTACCTGTGGTCTGAGGCCAGGTACGCTGAAGAGGTGCATGTCGCCCATATTGGTAAGGCACACCAGCGTGTGCTCGCAGTAGTCTTCCTGAGCCGTGGAGCCGAAGACCACCAGGGCAACCTTCCTCACCCGGCAGCCCTCATGAGCGGTGAGCTTGAATTTCGTCTTGGCGCTCACCTTCGGGAGAGAGAACACCTACGGCGAAAGAGAACAGAGGCAGTGACTTCTGTGCTTGCAAATTTGGATCTTACCAGTGGGAAAACAAGAAACCACCGATTGGATTTTATACATGTACATGTATAAATTTAAGAGACAAGGGCCCATTGGACTATATTTTGAAGTTACCTTTAGTTGTTCTTCTGAGGCGATGAGCACGGAATGAGGATTGGACATATCCGGAGCAATGGAGAGGTCCTGCGAGGCTTCGTAAGGGTCGGGTAGCGGTTTAGCGCGTCCATCCAGCACGCAGATGGACACAACGGGAGCTCTGTGCATCAGCTGGATCTCTTTGCCCAGCACGGCCTCCACGCAAGCGCCGCTCTCACCGGCGATCCCCCGCTCAGAACCGCGGGTCGAGCCAATCCCGGGTACCTCCAGAGCGTAAGCGTACACGCTCCCCGAGTTGGTGCCTGCCCACAGCGTCGGTCCATGGTGTGTGCCTGGGTAACACAGTCGGCGCCATTACAAAGCTGCAACGCTTGGTTTCACTTACAATGAACACGTGGCCAACAAATATCCAGTAGGGCGCAGTACATGTATTGCGATGTTGTGGGGGAACACCGCACTACATTTGAGAATTTGAAAAAGGTACGTTCTAACACGAGAGAAGAAGTTAACACACCATCGCGCAGAAAGGTGTCGGCAAAACACAGACAGCGAACAACTCCCGACAGCGAGTCGTCCGCCGATCGAGGTTCAATCCTTCGCTGGATGGGAGCCATTTCTTCATGCTCAGCAAGGGCAGCGTTGGCTTCTTGGACCTGTGCAGAACAAACATGCACACAGTGGTCATGAAACACACAATCGTAATGATGTCATCTGTAGTCTCAGGGTGCCGCGGCTTGCAAGCGCATCACCTTGCTGGTGGGTGCGGTGATGGTGCGTTTCTTCCCAGACACCCGACTCTTGCGGATACGCCTGAAACTCTGCCTTAAGGACTTCTTCAAGGACTTGACTCTCGAGAGGGGACCCTCCATAGCCAGGGAATCATTTGGGTGTAAGGTACATCTAAATGATATCCGTAGGACCAAGAGTAAGAACAATCCAGTGATAAAGTACTTTGTTTCTACCCAATAGTCGTGTCGTAACACCTGGCCAAGACAGCACTTCTCCTGTGGTAGTCAAAGAGGCCGAAGCCGTGACTGGTTCCAAAGGCCATGAGGTTCCATTCGGCATGCAGCGCCACGGCTGTCACCGAAGCCGGAGGGATGCACTGAACCAGCACCTGAGGCTGAAAGCCTGGAGGGAAAGGGGCGGGTTTGAGGCGCGGCTCCAGTCGGTCATGGCCCTTCCACGTGAAGCCCTCCCTGTCCTGCAGCAAATCCACCACGGAGACGTCCACCGTGTGGTCCGAGCACTCGTCGCTCAGTCCCAGCACGATCACCTGAGGGAGGCGGAAAACACGCGGGCCCAACTGAGTCACGCGACGAGGCTCTGCTGGATATCAAGCGAGTGTTGCGCAATAAAAGTTGAAATATTGAACAGCTCCAACTGTTCCCTGCCGAAGCGCGGAGCAGTCCAGAGGTTTGGACGCAACCCAAGGATAACTCAAAGTTGTCTCAAGGAGTATCTCTGAAATTTTGCACAAAACTACTGCTGCACTCAGGAGCAAAATAAAAAATAAAAAAAATCTTAAAACCACTAACAACCGATGATCCATAATATGCAGTCCATTTTATTTAACAACTCCAATCCCACAATGTATCCCACTGGTATCCCGCCCACTGTTGATGATACTTTATGTCAAAACTGAAGAAAGATGTATTTTTTTTGGCTCAATGCATCGCCACAGTGGGCAATTCAAACGTGAGAGTAGCAAACGGCAGAGTAAAAATGCAAGATGATCTATATGATCACATATCAGTGGTCAGGTTGAAGGTTAAAACAAAAAAAAAGTAAAGAAAGCACTAATATTGTGCACACCAACTATGGAATTTGGTCATTGACAAAATATGCATGCATATTGCACACCGGTCACTCGTTTAATGCTGTTAGCGCTATTTTATTGTTTGAATGGTCCACTAATTTACCTGTCCAGCGGTGCCTGCCACCAACAACTTGTTGCTGTACTTGCATAGGCTGATCTTCTGGATGCCCAGACGGGGGTCGTCGCTATACGGGTCAAAACAGCCCACCTAGATACACACGCATTTTATTAGGAAAACCGTTGCAATGTAAAACAAGTATTGAGACATGTTTGTGTGCGTGCGTGTGTGTGTGTGTGTGTGTATTATGTGCATCGCATGCAGGACAGAGGCCAGACACACCGATGGGAATGCGATAGAATGAATTTACAGTTAGGTAATCTGTAATCTCAGGCGTTTTAGGAAATAGTTACATGAAGGAAACTTTAACCCCCCACACCCCCACCCACACTTTGAGACTCAAGTCCACCTCCACAATCTGCCGCAACTGACATTTTCTGCCGAACACGCCAACGACGCTCTCCTACATACTCAAGAAAACACGTGTGAATCTGTCTCTCGCATATACACAATGAATTTCAATCGAATCTCCTGGAAGTCGGTCACAGAAAAGAAGTGGGGTGATGGGTCTGGTTTTCATTACAGAGAGGGGGTGGGGGGGAGGGGGGGGGGCTCTCTCTCATCCCATCAGAGGGCCTCATTCCTGAACACGCAGCACAGTTACCACAGGATACAGCAGATAAACGCGGGTTTGCATGGAGGCGAGCGCGTGGGAAGCCAAAGGAATATGAAAACACACCAGACGAGTGTTGGGAGATGAAGACACAAAGACCATCGGGAACATTTCAGATAGGCCGTAGTTTGGTCAGGAGAGAGGTCCCTTGATAGTCGAGCTGAAATCTACGCAAACATTCAGAATGATATTCGAACCACTCCATTTTAAATATTCATTAAGTGCCTCTCTCTTAATTTCTTATCAACGCACATCCCTGCTGTTGTTTAAGCGCATTTGCACCAAACACAGACGTTCTGGAGTACGTCTTCCCTTTAGAATCGTGTTCTAATAGCAGGAAAAATGTGGCGAGTCCGAATACCAAACACATGAAACCAATCTGATGAGAAATTAGGCCACCGAGCGCATGCGTGTTCACGCGAACCAGACTGTTTTATTTCTCACATTGCTCCCGATGATGAGGAAGGACAGTCACTTTTTGCTCATTCTTCTACGCTCGCTCATCTGTTTTGTTTTCACCTTGCGGAAGGGAGGCCATTCCTCTTCCTGCTGCATGTCGGGGTCGTCGCCCGGGCCCTGAGGCTCATCGCAGGGGTCGCAGTCTGTGTGGAAGACGTTGGCCGTGCTCAGTTTGTACAGCGGCGTGAGGGCGATCCCGGACGCGTCCCAGAAACGCACGGTGCCGTCCTCGTGTCTGTAAATGCATGTTGTGTCAAGAAATCTTGTGACAAGACACAAACAATCAAAAGTTTGTCACGGTGATGATCAAGTTCCAAAGTGTCCGGTGTCCGACCTTTTTCGCAAACCTTTAAAATATTCCTCTTATTTTTGTCTAAATTGTGGCATCGTGCCCGGATGTCTCACTGCCTTCGCTCCGAGCCAATACCACCTCTGCCAAACATATGCCTCTGTTATTAAAGTGCGCTCGTTAATTGTTGCCATGGAAACATAGGAACATTTCAGCTTGTGGCCGAATGAATACCCCGGAGGCTCAAGGTGAGAAATTTAAACACTAATGTGTCATGACTCAGAGTTCATGATTTGAAATTCACCATGCATGTCTGTGCATGTGCGTGCGCGTGTGTTTGTGTGTGTGTGTGTGTGTGTGCAGGTACCCTGTCAAAAGCAGCTCGTGTTGTTTGGGTGGAGGAGCCAGGTTTTTCCCTCCACATATGGGCCAGCTCTTCAAACACAAACATATAAGAATTCCCGGTTTGAAAAAAAAGCATCGCAGAAACAGTAATGCATACGTTATGATTGAAAGTGACACTGTATGGTGACCACAGATCAAATAGCGGCTCCACAAAGCTGGAGTCGGCTTTGCTCTCTCTGTGTGCGTCTCATTTGGCTTTTTGGCATTTGATTTATGAGAGCGCGAGTGCGACTGTGCAAATTTGCCACTGATGAAACAGCTGATAAAAGCTGCAAAATCTATGCAAAGCTGTTTTAACTGCCAATGCTGTCTTGTTCGCTCAGAGCTGCCTGAAAGATCACCGCACGAGTCGACTGAGTCATTGTTTATGATAATAATTACAACATCCCAACGTTCATTCACTGAGTGACAAGACAACCGAGTAACAAAATAGAATGTCAACAACTCAGCGTGTGCGTGTACATGCAGCTCTGTGTGCGGTGTAACAAGAGTACTTTTACAGTACAACTAAAATGCATGAGTGGCTTGGTATTAAAAGTTCATAGGTTAAGATACTTATGCGCATCTTGGATTTCCTGTGATAGTAAAGTCCCGAATCCTCGAATAAACCAATTTACAGACTTTGCCTTGAATGGTGTCCAAATAAATGAAACTGTGCACCATTACAGCAGTATTGTACGGACAGTACAAGACAAGTGGACAAAGGGGGGAGGGGTAATTTTGGGAGCTTCGATCCACTGTAGACTTACCGGCAACTAGATACGACAAAACTTTGAACTTTGCTCAACATGAGCCAAGTGAAATTGATGCGTTGCATAATGGGGAAAGAGAGTTCCTCGAGGGCAAATTTAACCTTTGACGAGTGGACCAAAGTGACAACTCTGGACCTCACTGAGGTAAATTATGACTTCTCACCCTGGGTGTGTGCTGGTGGCCCTGCTGCGCTTTGCCAGCATTGACCAGCCTTTCCCACAGTTTGGGAGGGACGCTGGTTATGTGACAGGAGCACGTGATGGCCGATGAGTGGAGAGGAGCCAGGTAGGGAGTGGGCATAGAGGGCCAACCGGGAGTCTGGAGGTCAATCACAACCAGCTCCTCTTCGAGTAAAACCACCAGCGCAGATGGGTCATCAAATTCTAGAGCGAGAAGTGGCCATTAAATACCAGTCGCTGTAGTATGCCCGTAACACCATGACTGACTAAGAACGATGAATATTTCTGAATGTTGGGTCCAAGTACAAAACTTGGGCCATTTTCATGTTTGGTGGTGCCCTGACCTTTCTCTCGCTCAACATTGTGAACTGTAAAGAAGTCGATGACCCTGGAGGTGAAGTCCAGGGTGATGTGGTCTTTGTCCTGCTGAATGGTCAGACAGTGCCGGTCGCCGTAGCTGGCTCTGGGCATCCCGCCGCTGTACAACAACACCGGTGACCTACAGAGGCAAAGGCAGAGGTGTGTGATGATTCATTGGTCATCTTAGAAAGCGTTTTTGCGGGTTCATACCCTTTTTCTTAGCAACTCGAGTCATGCAATGTACATATCATACATATGTATTACTTTTTACTAATTCAGATCTTGCTTATAGTGCTGTAAATTGCTGCTAATAGTCTGCCACCGATATGAGATAAGTTTCCTAAGCAGCACCATTGAATTTTTTTTTTTTTTTGCACCACTTTGATTCATTACTCACCCAGTCTCCGTTGTCCTCCATAGTATTTTGTTGATAGCTTTGCAGGGAAAAGGACCTGAAAAGATAAACACAAAATAGAAAACTTCTCGTGAGATGATAGTGAGAAAATCATGGACGCTTTCGATAAGTGCTTTGCCATGAACACTATTTGTAGAGTTTGAAAAGGCATTTTTACTTTGCTCATGTACTATTTTTTATTGCTCTTACATTGCTCCTTTCTTCTTTTCTCTCCTTCATCCAAATCAGTTCTTGATCATCCCTGCTGTCCGGCAGAGGCGGTGCCTAACAGTATGAAATGTCCCTTCGGGGATGCACAGTTTGGGCATTTTTTTCTAGTCCGCCCTTCGTGTTTACTCAGTGGCATTTCCTGAAAGTTTTATCAATAATCCTGATGCGTGCCATGTCTCCCGTCTGTTGACTCTGCTAGAATTGTGGAAAGCACTGTGTGAACCAATGATTTGACGTAAAGGGAAAAAAAATGATTGTTTGGTTGATTTTAGCATCAATTTGACTGGCCAATTTGGCTTGTGGTGTGAACTTCTGCCAATTGGTACAACCAAAGAAAATGAAAACAAAAACGCAACAAAAGAATGAAAGCAAATGTCTGATTTTGAAACTTTCTTGCTCATCCAACTAAAGACACACCTGTCGCATGATTGTGTGTGAAACAAGCCCTGCCAGAACCACGTCACTGTGCTGCATCCCAACACATTGAAATGGAAGCACGTTGCCCATTTAGCTTACTGGGCACTTAACACAAACAATACAAGACGACATTATTTAGATAACACTTTCACGACAGCTGCAGTTAAACAACGCGATTGACACGCCTCAAACATATTCCAGCTGGCAAACACAGACACAGGTGAGCACTTCTCACCATATGGGATGGTAGAGGACACCGGCTGATGATTGTTGCCATCGCCGCTTGCAACAGCCCACACGGAGTAGCCGCCATCGCTATGGGAGCTGACAAATAAGTTTCCCGAACATTCCCACACCAGGCTCTCCAGCTGCTGTCGAGGATTTACACCAACATGCGTGACATTAGCACACATACGCATTAATGATGATTAAAAGAGCTACAAAACTGTCTCAACTTAAGAGTTGCCTGTTTGCCAAAGAACAGACTTAAATGTTAACTATCGATTAAGAAACGTGCGCTTTGGTTTCATACAATTCTGGGAAGAAAAAAAAAACAGAGCACTCGCTGAGTTTGCTTTGTTACCTGCTTGCCAAGGAAGAGCTGCTCTATTTGACGGCCGCTCACATCCCACAGGACCACCAGGCCTCGGCTGTAGCCAATTAGAATCTTCCCGGCTTGCCGAGGGTGCTCCTGAAGAGATTCCACAGGCCCTAATGATTTCCCACATCTGTAGTCTTCTGGCAGGCTGAAAACATTGAACGTCTTGTTTACCGGCAACATACTGTTATCTTTAACCGTAGTGCTAGAAACTAAATATTTACGAGTCAAAACAAATAGACTGACAATTAACATTATCTTAGGATGAAAGATCGCAGGATGCATAGTAACAGCGCATGATACATTCAGGGCTAATGCCACTGAACAGAGAGATTACATATTACATTATATGTAAGAATCCATCCATTTTCTGTACCGCTTCTCCTCACCAGGGTCACAGGTGAGCCGAAGCTTATGAAGCCACCCTGCCGCACATTAAATCAGTTACCCGCAATTGTCAATGTTTTTTTTCGATGACGATTTGCGCCGAGACAAAATCCTGCATCAAGGCCATTTTGGTATGTTTTCTTCGATGATGACTGAACTTTTGACAGTCACGGATAAGAACAAATGACACTTGCCCTACCAAAACAAAATAAAAGCATAATATAAAAACCTAACAAATCGAATGCACATATGAGAGCGGTTGTGTGAGCGCTAGCTGAGATTGGGCCTCCAACAACACAAATGAGGTCGATACTAAGCTGCTGGACCTCGCCAATAAGACATTCCTCTGAGGCAAAAGAGGAATGTTCAACAGGACACACCCTCGAGATGTTGGAGGATTCCCTCAGCACAGGACGGGGAGGAGAGTGGGAGGAAACGGTGGTTGGATCGTGGAGGAGGACGAAGGACTTCAATCAAAACAAGTTGGAAAGACACAAACATTGTCGTTCCAAGCGAAAAGAAACGAAAGTCTGCATGACTCCTCTATCTTATCTCCGTCTACAAACACACGCACAGACATCCAGCCGCTTTGGTGGGGTTCAACGAGGAAGATCCTTTCCGGAAGCGGAGAGGCAGAAACTTCCCAAACACAGAATTCCATTGTCTTTATGAGTATTTTTAGGGAATCCAGCATCCTGCTAGAGGGACTCAGGGATGAGCCTGTGTGTGTATGTGTGTGTGCACGCGCGTCTACGTGTTGTATATTCAGCTGAAACACTTCCCCAACCGGAACATTACGTGTTGGCAGCTGGTACAAAGCCTCACTGTGTAAAAACCTCCCATCCTTCACACTCATACACACACATACAGACACACATCCTTATCAGGGTCCTCATTAGGCCTCAGTCCTGCCCGCTTGCTTCTACAAGGCTGCTTAATGAGGGGTTTGCTGGACCAGTCAGACAGTCGCACAATACAGAAGCCCTGCAACATCGCCAGTAAAGCAACAAATGCTGACCCGATGAAAACAGCAATACTTAGGTTATGTTGACTGGAACAAGCAAGTTCAAGCCACTATCGTACCATGCTGTCAACGCATGCTTGTATTATCTCTTATTATTGAAATTTGGTGGTGCTCTGACAAGGCAGGAGAAATTATTTCGAGAAGGGTTGGCTTGATATGAATTAAAAAAAAAAAAGTGCAAAAATGTGAGTGTTTTGGGTGTGAGTGGAGACGAGTTTACTGACGGGGCAGGTACGGTGGGACACCGGACATTCCTGAGAAAGCTTGCCAGCAAGTTGGATTCATTTTAATTGATGTATCATCTAATGTGCACGTTTTCACTTGGACTCACACTCAAGAAATGAAATATTCATGCATTCGATTTTTTTTGACGATACTGAGGCAACTGTGATTCAGTCAGTCACACAGCATTTGATAAACTACATTCTTGCACATACACAATACACAAAGCAGACTGCGCTATCAACTTTTAAGTCACCAGTTCTTCTTAGTTTTGCGAAGGCTACCCAAATCACACCTGGATTGAACTTTCATTTCCCAATTTCTCATTTCTTCCTGAAGTTTGACAATCAATGAAGTCCTATTCGCAACAGTCTCACCTCTGTGTGACCTGATCCTGGGGCAATGTTTGGCTGGCTTTCAGTGACAGACTGGGCAAATCCAGGAAGTAGACGCCACCTCCCTCTGTTCCGATACAGAGGAGGTCACATGACTTCAGCAGGAGGAGGACGGTCACTCGTGTGGTACTGGGGGGTAAAAAGGAGAGCCCATTAGATCACTCCATGACAATTCTAAGGATGACAAAATGCTCCATTAGGGCAAATAAAGCAATTTTTAAAAAAAATCCTCATCATTACCTGCAGCTGTCAATGCCTGGTCTTCCCGGAAGGCTGTAGCTGCCCACTTCCTGAAGAATAACCGCACCTTCTCTCTTAGCCCCGCCCACCTGCCTGGGGGATGTGGCAGTCAGCTCCCACAAGTGAATGCTATTATCATCCAGAAGTGACAACAGGCGGCCCTGCGACAGACAAAACACCACAAATGAGTACGGCTTCATCAATATTGATGAGGATGACACAAGGGAGACCAGGTTTTGCTTACCTGTCCTGGCAAGAAGTGAATTTGTATGACAGCAGTCGTGTCATTGTGTAGCCCTGTGAACTCCACACCAGGGGCCCCGTAACTGAGAATATTGTTAAGATACATCCAAATAACTTTGTTTGGAGGGGTGGGGGCGGTACTCCTTATTTAATACAGACTGCATCTGTCCTCGGATGTGACTGTGAGGGCCCCACGATGAAGACAGTTAAAAGGGGTAATTGTGAGCTGTAAAGCCAATGAAACATACTAGTTAAATGTAAGAGTAGAGAGGTTATTGGAGCGCCAAAGAAAGCTCATAGCAATTTCCAACAGCAGCTGACGCAAATGTCGAAAATAACACCACCGCGCGTATGTAATCAAGAGCAATTTTCGTAGGATAAATTAAGCACAACTGGGGGGGAAAAAAAAAAAAAAACAATGCCATGTAAACAACTAAAATAAATGCCAACGTAAATTGGTAGCCAACTGCTACAAGCTTCACATAAACACTTAAGACTGATGTAGATTACTCGGATGTTTGGGGGCATGTGAGTTCGAGAAAAAAAAAAATTCTGAGGCGATACCACTTCGCGATGAAGACAACTCAAAGTGGTATCGGTAAAGGCCAAGGTAACTACCAACAATACCTCGTGAGATTTTAGCCTATTCAAGCACATTTGAGCAAATGAGTGACTTTCTTGAGCTTTTGTAGTTTTTGGCAACCTATTTTTAAAAAATGATCAACTAGTATAGTCCTGAAATGAAATAAAAAGGACTATGACATGTGGATCTTGCTGGACCAAAACATCATACTGTCATAAATCCAATTTCCTGAAAACGTGTATCTCATTCTTACATCAAAAACTGAATTTCTTCATTTCCACTTGCGCTGGAGGCCTAATGTTGTGTTATACAAGCATTCCTGAGTATTGTCACTTCCTGTCACCTGCTTTTAGCATTGCAGTAGCACGCATCCCAAATGGCTGAAGGTGCAGGGGGGCGACACACACACACACACACACACACACACACACAGACCACACACACACACACACACACACACACACACACACACACACACACACACACACACACACACACACACACACGCATAGCAAAAGAAAGTGCCCGCAAAATTACAAACAAAAGGTAAAAGCAGTATTTCAGTTGCGATTAAAACATAGACCAGGGGGTCACCCGCACGGTGCTCGTGGGCACCAGGTAGCCCCCAACGAGTCACATGACAACATGTGGCCTGTGGGGTTGTTCTAAAAAAATAGCTCACCACTCATCATTAATTCTTTGGCTAAGGTAATTGGAGCACATTTGTGAGTTCAGAAGCGCGTATCAAACTGCGAGGCTGGCCCTTCGTTTTAAATCCGTCACATAAGAAGCTCTCAGTTTCAAAAAGGTTGGCGACCCCTGAGACAGAAACGAACACCGTCCTGGTCGGCAGCACTTCTAAAAGGAAGCAGGCCATTGGTGTCAAGTGAATGTCACAGAGCGAAAGTGTTTAAGGCGATGGTCGAATAACACATGGACACACACACACGCACACAACTCAAGTGTGATGCCCACAAGTGGTTCACATTACTGTATATTATCTATTAAAGTGACACTTAGTTTTAATGTTTCAAAAACACCATCTAAAATAGTGCTTCATTTTAGACAATCCAACCTGCGCAAAACAGACATCAAAAGGAGCCGCCGCAAACGCGCAGGACGCTCCGCCAAGCGCATCGGGGACTTCAAACAAAGACAAACGGGAACAATGAATTGAAGACCAAATCGTATGTGACAAGTTGGAAATATCAGCAAGGCAGTAATTAGAGCAAACCTCAAAGGGCCGGAAAAACAACTCTGAAAATGTGAGCCAAATTGTGCACAAAAGGCAGTTTACAAAATGCAATAAAAAACAAAAACAAAATAAAACAGACAAGAATGGGAGATGTCTCCTGTATCTTGTTCATGGTGACGAACCTGTCGAAGGCACAATGTGCTCATTGATAGGGCACTTGGCTTGCCCCGAAATGTTAACAATGGTAGACTACAGTAGCTCACAATCACTAAAACTCTCTCTCTCTCTCTCTCTCTCTGACATACATATACATACACACACACACTTGGCCAGTGATGCAGAAAGAGTGTTAGCTAGGATAAAGCGATTTCACGGTCTGAATACAGACAAACAGAAGGTATTGTCCTCCATGCGCGCACACACACACACACACACACGCACACACACACACAAGATATGGATGTCAGGAAGAAAAGACGACACAGGACATTTGTAAAAAGTTGACTAGACATCCAGACAAAAAAAAATTTTAAAAAACACTGCATTGTAAAAAGGTCAGAGGTCAAACGTGTTTAAATTTATCGCTGAATTGAAATGAAAGCATTGGACACGCGCCCTGACGGCAACTCAAACTTTGAGGATGTTTGCCGAATGACGGCCTCCACTAAAAAGGAGCCAAACAACTCCACCCACCCACTAGAGACACAATCCTCGTCTAATTTGCATCGCTTGCCTCAACTGGGATTTCTTGTGTCCCACTTTTCCAACAGTGCAACCGAGATACTTGGCTCTGAAATCAAGAAGAGAAGGCTCAAGACCGATGCAAAATTGCATAATGATGCATCAATCTTGCCATTTTCATCTTAAAATTCAGACTTAAAATTCCCCATGGAAAATATGAACCCTTCTTTTATCTCTGTCAAATCTCATCACATCAGGTTGCTTATAGGATTTTATCGCCAAAAGGATGTCGAGTTTGATCCAGCTCCAAAATTCAGTTTGGGAAACCAGATTCCACAACCGGAGTTGTTCACTCCTTTGAGATCTGCACTCTGTCAGAGATCTCGTCGATTAGCTCCAGTTTCAAGAGTGCTCTGTGCATTCTTTTCAAATAAATGCAATCTTGATTTATCGAGTACACAGTGTCCCAAACTTTTGGGACTTTGGTCTATTCAACTGCCTTCAATCCAGCGTGAGTCTGCGCGCGCGCGTGTGTGTGTGTGTGTGTGTGTGTGTGTGTGTGTGTGTGCGCGCGCAACTGGAACATGCACAACATCAAAGCAATGTTCTGCCCGTGTGTGTATAAATATTAGCTCATCCTCAGGATGTTAGTCACCGATACCAGGAGGTGTGCGGTAACAAAGTTTTGGTGGGTTTGAGTACAGACAGAGCAAGGTACAGCACAGTCAGACTCTGCTACACTTCAACCTCAAGCGGTCCTGGTTTTTGCGGTAAGCCAAGCGCTCTTATCTGATGTGCTGAGGTGCAGATTTTTCAAGTCTTTTGGTCAGAGCACTTCATCCCAGGCAACGGCACCGGTTGTCTTGGAAACCAATTCTAAAGCTCCCTTTATTAAGACGAGACCGAGCAACAAAGCGCTTACTCACGATCTACACGCACACACACACAGACACACACACACACAGGGTTAAGCCAGGGCACACATTCCACGACATGAGTCCTCAACATTGCCCCCCCCCATGTTATCTCTCGCTCTCTTGAAAGATATGCTCATACATTAAAAAACAAAACAAACAAACAAAAATCACATGCATTGTCCCACTCTCTTCTCCGAGCCTCAGACGGTGGTTGAAGAAGAAACTTTGGGCCGTAATATGACTCCGCCCTTGTAAGCACACAGAGTAAGAGGGAGGTGAAATACTCAAGAGTATGCATGGGAACAAGAGGGGGAAAAATGGCGAGTTTACAACATAAATGTTGTCAAGTTTTACTCAGGATATCTATCCACTGCCAGATTTTTGACAGGACACACACTGCCCTTTTCCCAGGTGGGCGCCCCCCACTCATCTGGCAATAGTGTAAAGCGCAAGTGAGTATGCTAGCATGGGCCTCCAGGTCAAGCCCATGTCAGAGAGTCTGAGATTATCAGGGGAATGTAAACACGTGCATTCAAAATAAATATGGTAGTCACAACACAAAAACATAGGTTAAAAAAACACAGCCGCCGGCGTTTAGGGGCGCGTGTGATCCAGCCAAAGGCTCACAATGATGTACTTGATTGTTTTGCTTCCATGACCCGAGTGGGTGCGTGTTCTTTGCCATATTTTTTATTTGACACGGTTGGTTAAGTGTGTGGTATTACCTCAAGCCGCTGCACAAATGCTACGGTAGACTGCTGATTTACGACTCGGCATGTGTTGCTTCATCTGACGTGTCTTCGAACACGACAGCTCAAAGATTCACTCCAGATATTCTGCATGCTTCATTAGAGGACAAAGTTGCTCCAAAGGAACTTCCACCCATCCATCTACCCATTCATTTTCAAATCCGCTAAACCTCACAAGGGCCGCGGGTGTTCTTGGAGACTATCCCAGCTGTCTTGGGGGGGGAGAATACCCTGAACTGGTTGCCAGGCAATCACCTCGGGACAATTTGGAGTGTCCATTCAACCTGCCATGCATGTTTTTGGAATGTGGGAGGAAACCAGAGTACCCGGAGAAAACCCACACAGGCACAGGGGTTAACATGCAAACTCTACACAGGAAGGCCGTAGCCCGAATCAAACCCGGCACCTCGGCACTGTGAGGCCATCCCCAATGGAACGTATAAAGTCGTAAACATTGTTTCTGTGTGTATATTACTAAAATCTTGACATGTTTACACTGAGTTAATGTTTAAAATACTTTGTGCACGGTATGATGTAGACAAAGCGCTATAAAAGTGCACTCCATTTTGATGGAAGTGGATGTGTCTTTATTTCATGAAAGCACAAATAACATTTGGATTCCATTTGGAAGTCATTCTCATGACTGCCAACATGGATAGCGAGCACTAGTATAATGTAGCAAATCAAATACAAGAGGAGTTTTTTGGGGTTTTTTTTTCACATTTAAGTGATTTATTCAAGATGCATGTCATTTCTGTAATAGGTTGGAATTATTCACAACTTCAAAAGATTTTTTTTTTTGTATAAATTACCATGGGGATCTGCAGGTGGGTCATGGCAACTACTGCCTTGCTCTGCGTGTGCGAGGGTTGCAGCCTGTTCCACCAAAAATGACTCATTTTCAGGTTTTCCAAACTCTCTGCGGGTGCACATTTCCTCAACTTTGCACGCTTTGCAGTCTGCTCCGACTTTCCAGAAATTCCAGCAGCAGCTGGGACTCTCAAAGAATGAGGAAGACTTGTCTGGATTTTGCTGCATCGGTCATTTTGGAAGAGCGACGGAGTTATTTTTCCTCCCAGCTGACACACTCAGTCGAGTTTGTCTATATAGCGGCCATTTATCCGCATTGTTTCATTCCGCCATTTCTCATTCCATCACTCTCTCGCTTGCTCTCCAATTGCCTGGTACCACCAGCCTGCCTTGCCGATTTCCCCCTCCACTGTGGGACTCTGAAAGCTGCGTTTCAAAGAGCTGATTCTCCTGTCTAATGCAAGCACGCACACACAAACAGACAGAGCTTCCCGCTCAATGATAAATGAGCGCATATTGGCCAAACAACGGTACAGTTGCTAAGCAGACAGTGGCACGTTGATGTATCCTGTTATTTGCTACCGCACCTCACTCACTCCCAAAATAAATACGCAAGACTGACAAGAAGTATGTGAAGAAACTATACAACACAAACACTCTGTCAGACCTGTCCTCTTTTAAAGTACTAAAATTCCCCCAGTTTGAAAACAAACGGGAAAAGAACATGATATAGAGAAAGAAGTAGGCAATTAACCACAAAACCACCACGCTAATGGTGCCAATGTTTGCCACCACACAACGATCAACACATCTGTTGTGTCAAAAGGAAGGAATTCGGTAGGGTGCTACAATCCTCTTGGCCGCAACCGAAGCGACGCATTTATGGGATTCTCAAATTCCACGAATGAAATTACATATGGGCTGATCGTGTTGCGTTTGTTTTCCTTTGCAATCCAACGTTCGTGGTTCTCGCCGCCAGTTTAGTCAGCATCCACTACAACAGAAAGATCACACTGGCGTCCATCTTAGACGGTGGTTCTCAAGTTTTTGCTTATCCGGGAGCCAAATTGCCAAACTGTTGCAAAGTCGCGACCCACATTGATAGATGTTACAAACAATCGAGACAATTCGTTGTTTACAAGGCTCGAAATAACTTTTTCAGGAGTTGCCAATCAATGACTTCATTTGAGGAGCGATTTTTTTGCAGGTTAATCCCAGAGACGCGGGATTTATTATATTTAGTTACCCACAACTTAAAAATTGCCTTAGTTACACATTTTAGCCACTCAGAAGCGAAAAGAAAGTCATTTTCGGAAAAGACCTCTCCCAATCCTAAATGAGACAAATTTGACCAGTTTACCAATGAACCACGTCTAAAATTTGAAACAGAATTAGAGGCACATTTGAATGATTTTGAATATCTTATTCAGTGTCATTTGTTATGCTGAGTGCGAACCGTTTCAGGAGAAGCCAGAGAGAGAGAGAGTGTGAGAGAAAAAACGTAAGCGAGCGCTCATGCTTACCAAGTAGCAATGTGTATGTGTACGATCCATTGCATGTAAACAAATGTGGATCCATGGAGAAAAGCACAACCAGAATCTGCGTCTACTTATTCCTGCAGTGAAATGAAAATGGGGAATTTTCCCTCAAGTCCTGGTGCCACTAACTGCTGCCTTCAAGAAGTAGATAGCGCTCCCTACGGTGTGGCGCCTCGAGCAAATAAAAGTGCTTGCGTCCTCAAAAAATCCTTCAAAGGCTTGAACATAGCGAGCTTCAATTCATGAGATAGTTCCATGTGAATGTTGTCAGCTCAAAATGCAGATTCACACGGGGACCAAATGGCTGGGACTAGATTTCCTTTTTTTTTTTTTTAAAACCGATTTGAAGTAGAAGTGTAACTTTCCACGCAGCACCAAAGTTTTATTTCCAGCATGGCTCTAGAAACAACAGATTTGTAATTCACTTCAATAAAACACTGCCAAGCTTCAAAAAAAAAAAAAAGAAATCTGAGTAATCCTTTGTCCCACTTCAAAACACACAGGAGAAGACTAAAAATGGATTGTACATTTAACAGACGCACTTGACAGTTTTTATTGGATTGTACTGGCTGCCGGCTCCTACCTCCCCGCAAGAACTGCTTGGATCCATCAACTCAACCTTGAGGAAGGATACACTTTGACGGCTCCTGCCTTGGTGCCGATAGCCATGAGTTGCAGCTCGGGGTCGTAGGCCAACGCGCTGGGCTGATGTGGAAATCCATGCTCCACCGTCTGTGAAGGTGACGCACAGACAGAAAAATGAATGAGCGCACAGATTTATGATCATCTTACCCCAAACGGTGAGGGGGGAAAAAAAAATAAAAAATTGACAACAGCGGCTCGATGACCAATGAGCAACTCTTTCCGAAATGGCGACAAAGCCACACAACACAAAGTCTCATTCTACAGTTAATGAGCAGCCTGGATGCATTTCATTTCAAGGCAAGACACTGTGTAAGACACGCCCGCGTCTGCATGTGTTTATACAGGTCAGACGGAGGCGTCAAAAAGGGAGGATGCCCTTAATAAAGTTTGTGGCGAATTCTCAAAAATGGCAGCCATTGCTTTATGGGGCAATGCTCTGCAGACTTTGTTTAATGAGATCCAATTCAAAGTCGGTCCTCTTGGCCCCGCACAGCAGCTGGGAAAGCATTTAGCCGTACAAAGAAGGAACAACACATGGGAGGAAGAGTTCTAGGTTGAGTTTAAGGTCTTATTTGATTGGAGAAGGGAAGTAAAACATGAACCCTCAAGTGTTTAAGGGTCTGAGACGCGCAAACTCCTGTTGAGAGACCACCTCTGGGTCAGTTGTGGCAGCTGGCGTCCAACCTTAAAAAGTATGCGTGAGCGTGTTTGTTTTAACAGTGGAGGCAGCACTTTATGGACCAAGAACATGACAAACAACTTTTAAAAAAAGACCACTTAAGTGGGAACACCATAAGACCTCGGAATTTCTCATGATTCAGAGCACAGTTATATGCTTGGTGAAATATTTGTTTTGAACAAGGCTGAGTTGGAAACGCATCATGTGACATGATTGAAATGTTAAACACTGCATTATATGTGCGGCTGATGGAGTTTTTATGATGTTACTTCCATTTCATGCATTTGAAACCCAACAAAATGTGGCCAGCGTTCCGAAATAAAACAGGTTTAACCTTGGAGGTTTCACTCTATGAATCAGGAAAATTAGAAAGCCAAAAGTGCATGAAACTCACTGTAATGATACACGCAATGAAAACGACACTATTTCAACTAGACAAGTGTGGTTTATTCGGTCAGCATGTCCCCCCTTTGTATGCAGCAATTTGTGTATTGTGTGAGCTACATTACAAGTGACACACTGCAAAGTGACAGGAGACAAAATCCTCAAGGCTTCCGCGAAACTCAGGCCAGTTGTTTTTGCGCAGTAGATTACCTGTAACTGAAATGTGATCTGCACGAAAATCAATACAATTCAGACTGCTGCAACACTCTTTAGTGTCGCACCACAATGGAAATGCTACACAATTGGCAGCGAGCAGTATTAAAAGGGAGTTTGCAATTGTGAAAATAATAATAAACAAACAAATGTGTCAATATACTTGACAGTCGTAGTTAATTAAAACAGGGGAGGGAAAAAAAAAACTCAATTGCATCACCTTGTACTTAAAACCACCATGCCCGAGGAAAAACAACCAATCAGAGATGGAAAGCATGACTGACAACCTGTGAATCATCACAGTGAACAATCACTCTGGAAATGCCCCTGTGGGCACATGTGGTCAATTCGCGCCGGAAGTGACGATGTGTGGTCGAAAATGTGGCATTCGAAGGACACAACCTATTTATGCCTACACAGTTTCATTCTCACATGAATGGCCATGTTTTACAATTGCACGTTAGTGAGGGGTGTGGATTAAATCAGACAATTGAGGGGGAGGATTAGTTAAGTGAGCCCACATTCAAATCTTGCTAAACGTTTTAGTCATGTAAATTCTCGCTTTGAAGTGGAGAAAAATAACTAATCAACGGCTGAGACTACCAAGGTATAAATATTATTATGAGTTACATCGGCAGAAAGGATTCTCTGTTCCTTTTAAAATGGTGGGAAAAGCGCCCTTGGTTTGTTTTAACTCTGATACAAATAAATGACAAGAAAGATTGATTGGGATTTTGGACACCAGTGTGGATGAGATGACAGTGTGCTGTCCCCAAACACTCGTGCACACAAAGCTCAGAGGTCTGAACTCCCAACAACAGTTAGATGAACTGTGTTTTTTGGCACCGATTTAAGGAGGGCACAAGTGGATTTACTCACTAGTTGGCGTCTCACCAAAGAGTTCAACGCAGTTTTATGTTAACCTGCAATGACGACGACCGTTCTGAGCAGTGTTACTGGTCGTAATCTTGAAGTCAGTTTCGGTGTTGTGTTGTTAATGTGGGACGCGGGCCTTGGGCCAATTAACACGCCGAGCAAACAACTGAAGCCAGCACACAAGTTATCAACAAAGCGCCCCTGCTTGCGCCACAGCACAACCCGCGGCAGTTACTGCTCCTTTTGTAAAAGCCCGTTAAACCCAAGACAGACGTCGAAAAGGAGAGGCTTGAACACCGCGGTGAGCACGACTTGCTCCATTCAACTGGGACTTAAAAGAACATTCGCTGTAGTTCGGGACAGGCAGCGTCTCGCTCCGTTACTTTACCTTACTGAAGGCGAAGAGCTCCTGTTTTATCTTCTCCCTCTGCGTGTCGGTGCCCTGCCGACGAAATCTGAACTTCATCATCTTGAAGCCGGGCTGGAGGGCGCGAGTGAGGGGGGGCAACACGCACTGGAGCGGGTATCACCCAGGGCGGCGAAGCTAGACTAGCTTACTAGCTTGCCGGCTAGCCCATACGGGGTGAGCGCTGCGAGGCTTACGAGGCTGCGACGCTACTGCGGGCTGCGGTTCTCCTCCGTTTTAGTCCTTCTGGCTCGGCTCGGGTCGGAGATGGTTTGGCCACCGCTCCCCCTTCTCTCAGTTCACACGGACCCCATTGTTGGTAACCAATGGGAGCGGAGAAATCTGCGGGCAATTACTCAGAGACGCCCACACAGCCAATACTACAGCGTGGGGGTGTTGGGTTTGATGTACCGAACGTACCGAACCAGTTTTAGGTTCGGTTGACACCTATCAGAGGGGCGAGTAATCGGCAAGTCTGTATAAAAAATGAAGCGCACCATCAAAACAGTCAGCGAAAAAAATGGGACTACATTCTTGATTTCGAAATATTTTTGCATATTCATCACAATCCTGTTTCAGATCATCACACAAAACGAAGTTTCTGAATTAAAATGTTATTTAGGAAGGAGAAAATGTCCAAACCTATTTGGGCCTGTTTTATGCCAGTGGAAGAGTCTCGCCCCTTTGATGATTTTCAAAAAGTAGATTTTTTTTTTTCGTTTCCTTAATGTGAACATTCAGTTGTCATGTAATTTAAAGGCTTTAAATCAAAGGGGAAGTCAAGTCAAAATGTCCTTTACAACAATATCAGGCACGGTATTGTGATTAATATTGGTGTTTGTTGAATATGAATTAAGCATCAAAATCCATCCGTTTCTATCTCAGGAGGCAGCATATTCAACAAATGCAATATTAATCAGAATGTGTTTAGACCAGTGGGGGTATATAGAACATATTGTAAAGAAATTCTTGATTTGACTTCAAATATTTGAATGGACTATTGTTAAGGGTGACAGGACAAGTTCTTAATTTGTTGTCTTTACTACTATGCGTTATTGCTTGCTTACTTTCAGAACTAGGGGAAACCTTGATGGGGAAAATTACATTTGCAGTTGTCTGTCAATGGGATTGTTTGGCCTTGGATAAGCAATAAAAGAATCACATTTGCTAAGTTTATTCGGTTATAATACAAACTTTAATGATTTCACATGCAATTATTATATGCAATAAGTATTCACAACTGTATGTTATGCATTGTATTTATGTTGAAGGCAGTGCTCAAATATTGCCAAAATATGCATCAGGTCTCCCCTGTGAATTCATGGCAGGGAGTACAAATGATTTGTTTTGTATCAACAGCATCCTTCTTATTTGTTTGCCCCAGTATAAAAGCCACGGTTACATTAAAGTACACTTGGAATGCATGTCATGTTCATCTTTGAAAGGACAAACAGGAAACATAAGTTGGCAGCTACCACAGCAGAGCCCCTGGCTCAGAACATGACCTATTTAAATTCAATTGCTCAGTTTTCAAGACAAGTCAAAACTTTTCTGTTCCTTAGAAAGGAAGTCCCACTCATCCCAATGTCCTAAAAATTAAGCACGTGACTTACCAAAAGAGGAGTTCAATCTTTGACAAGAACCTTCCTGACATCGTCTCACTTCCACTTTTGACTCACGTTGCATCAACGCAGACATTTGACTCATTGATGTGTGTTTGTGTGAGTGTAGTCATGTGGAGTGCAGGGCTAGTCTTTTAAAATATATGTACTCATAAAAGTTAAGTGAACGTCAAACAGAGGCAAATACAGTACATTTTCGGGGAATGAAAATCATATGAATGGGTGGTCTATCCTGTACGTGTGCATTTATCCAACGTTGGATCATGTCTGTCTTTGACCGGCATAACCGATGACATCACACTTCCACATAAGAAAAAAAAAAATGCAAAGATGAGCTCTTTTCAGTCCAATTATGCCAAGTGCGCCCATGTATTGTTTGTATGCTAGAGCAGGGTTATTTCACTTGGTGGCAGCGTGAGTCTCTTTTCTCTGGCAGACAGCATGTTTTCCATGTGCATGGCAACCACTCTACACAGCTCCAGACCCTGAAAAACACATACCACAAGCACAGTATATGTAGAACATTTGCAGAGTGGAAGCGGAACTAGCAATACACCCGATTTCTCAGCATATCCATCACACAATCATACACTGGCACACACCTGCTCGAGCTGAAGCTGTGTGATGCGCTGGTTGAGCAGATCTCCAATCGTGATCTCAACGTATGGGTAACTTGAGCCAGACGTTGGCCTCTGGGTGCGGGTTGACTGGACCTCTTTTAAAGGGAAATGCACCATGGCCTCCTAATTACATAAATACAAGCATGGCATGTATACAAATATTTAAATGTATAGCAAATTATGAAGTAATTGTTAAATTGTAGTGTGTCATTAGAGTCATGACTTTATAAATAAGCTATTGCAATAGATCGACATGTAAATTATAGCAGTACCTAATGACAGGTACGCTAGAAAATGCATGAACCAAAAGGACCATTTTGGAGCTCAAAATGAATAGGGTGCAGTACATGAGTGGTCTTGGGACAGTGCCATGGAGAAGGTGAACGGTGTGTCTCTCGGAATTTCTTTCAAACGAGCGTTGGTTTATTTCAACAGGAAACAATTTTGTTGAGCTTTGTTGTGGTGAGTTGAGCTCAGTTTTGTTGGCTTGATTGATGGTCCCTCTGAGCTCGTTGGAAAAAAGGAAAGCATTGCAACAACCAGTCCCCCTTCCTGTGGTTCCTCTTTGCGCCTTCCATTGAAGGGTCCCGTTTTTCCTCTGAGGTGGGTGTATCAGGACCACTGTTGCTGTCCGTACTTGATGACGACAGGATTTGTTCAGAGGCTCCTTGACCCTCTGTGGTCCTGGGACTAACTGCCCTTCTGGTGCTTGGTCGCTCCCCCAGCTTGTCAATCAAATCCATGCACGCTTGTACAGCTTGGAGCTTTTCTCCCATCTCCGATGCGTCCATCTGCTGCTCCTGCTCTGAAGAAAGAAGTTTGAAGGCATAGGTCAGAAACTGTCCTTTCATCTTGTGCGCCTGAAACTGGAGCTCGGTCTTCTGAGCCTGGAGGTCCGCAATGGTCTTCTCTGCGGTCTCCACGCTCTCTCTCTCCTTGATCAGACTCTCATGAAGCTGATGTCTGAGGTCATTGATTATCTTCCAACTTGCATGTAAATTGTTTTCGCTAAGCTGCTCCTTTTCTTCCGAAGCCTTCAATTTCTCTCGAAGAGGAATGAGCTCCGTCCAAAGCTGAGCCAGGTTCAAGTCGTGTACTCTTCTTCCTTGTAGATACTCCAGGACAGCAACTTGGACATTGATTTCGTTTTTTACTTCTTCTCTCTCCCATGGGTGACATGACAGTAGACGAGTTCTGTTGGCATCCAGATCTTTCGTGATATTGCCCAGGAAGCTATCAATGTAGCTACACCAGTAATTGCCAACATTATTCATGACGCTCACTCTCAAAATGGTATCTTTTTCCAATTCTCAAAAAGTCTTCCTCCCAGCAAAAGTTGTATTTAACTGTCACCAAAGCATCATGACATCTCCAAAGGCATCAGTCGGCGATGTCATTCATATCAAAAAGGCAAGGATGATGAGTGACAGTAAAGTGAAAAGAGCTTATTGAAGTTACAGCATTCGCCGTAATGGACAACTAGAATTCATGTTGTTGTTTTTTTTTTTTTTTTGTGGCTTTATGTTAACATCTGATTTCCTATGGCATGGACACTCGCAGACAGAGCTAGCCCAAGGAATATGCAAACAAAGGGGCGTAGCCCCAAAAACCGGCAGGTTGCTGACACAAATAATTGCCTCTGTATTTGATTACTTTCCTTTCGATGGATAGCACAGAAATGGTATCAATCATTTACAAGCCACAAAAAAATAATGTAAAGGGCCAGATCTGGCCCGCAGACCTCGAGTTTGACACCTGTGCTTTGACAACCCACTGAGTGGATGTCACACAAGAATTCACATGACATGACGCACGATGATGGTTTGAAGCATATTTTTTTGACTAAACTTTGGTTGAACTACACTTTTGAGGCATTTGAATTTGGAGCCTCCACTGTACAACCAAGAATAGCGCAGGAGTCCAACAGAGGGAGCCAAATGCTTTGCTTTAAATGTATCAAATTGTAATGGTAGACTATGTGAGTCGCTGGGTAGTCATAGCCACACCGTGGTTCTGCATTAGGGATCTGCCAACACTGATGCTAGTTGACCAGTTCAATTATTCAAATAAATGTTTTCCATCAAATTGTGCTGTTAAAGAAATACATTTAAGTGAGGAAAAAAATCAAATTGTACTGTGTACTATTTAGGTGTGTGTGTGTGTGTGTGTGTGTGTGTGTGTGTGTGTGTGTGTGCGTGTGTGCGTGTGTGTGTGTGTGTGTGTGTGCAGAAGTCATACGTGAGTGTCTTTGTTAAGAAAATGGAGTCCATTAAGATTCACCGCCAGAATGCACGGAGCCTTGATGGAGGTCGAGCTGGAACTCTGGATGTAGAAGAAGGAAGATCCAAACATGGGGAAGGGACTGACCAGACCTGAGGAAGTACACATGAAGGCTCACTACAAATCTACTCCAAAACTACTGTGACATTCTGTCTTACCAAGGAATTGTGCACGGGCCTGGTGTGGGTTTAGAGGCTGGACATGTTGCATATGTTGAGTTGCCATATTGAGCCACTGATGTGGATTCTGTTTGCTGAAGAACTGTGGGGGGACACACTCCTGCAACTCATGTCTGAACACACACAAGGAAACAGTTCTCATTGTCATGCAGGACAGTTGTAACCTTCATGTCAACGAAAATTGAGAATTTTTAGTAATAAAAAACAAAACACAATGACGTTGGACTTCATTGTGTAAGTGGAATAGCGGTGCTTGAATACATATTTGCTGTTCCCATTATGGTCTATTTAGGGATGTTGTCACTAAAAAGAATATGGAAATATAGCATAGATGTCAATGTGTATTTACATGGTAGGCAGATAGACGGCGTCTTTGGCACGGTGCTGGAGAGCAGCCAGTCTAGCAAGCTGTTGCAGATGCTGTTCACTTGCCTTACTCAGAGGGACCACACTCAGCAAAGCCTTCAGGTAATCTGGCAACACCTGGCACAGACAAAGATGGATATGTTACTATCCATTACACTTCAGGAAATGTAAAACTGGCACTTGTACAGTATGATAATCCATATGTTGAAAGCAGTAAAAAAAAAAAAACATTCAGTCAACAATAAGTGGCATTTTCTATTTACCTGGTTATAATGCATGGTAACATAGAGTTCATTATCAAGTTTCAAAGCAAGACTCCAGATGACTCTTCGGAACCAAAGACTGTAGTTGGCATCCACCGGTTCGGCTTCTGTCGCAACATCCAAGATGTATTCCCTCTTGATCAGGGGCCGAACATTCTGACCTAGCAAAAACACACTTTCGCATTCCAATATGTGACATAGCAACTTGCAATGATTATTCTTATTCCCTGTCCTCAAAATTGCTAAGCAGTATGGACAAAAGTAACACACAGTGCATTTATCAAAGTATCAGAATATTTTGGCGAAAATACACAAATATACCTCCGCCCAAGCATGGAAGAACATTTCAAATGCACCTACAACTGTCTGAGCCTAAAACATTTGAATGCAAAATAGACATGCTAACCACGTGCACTGCACATAAAGATATACAAGTTTACATTTTTACATTTCAAAAAAATGCCGTATGTGTATTTCAGGTAGATATGCCGTACCTAGATCAATCCTTATTACCTCTGTGTGTAACCAAAAAGATGGCATATTCATCCAAAGCTTCCACTCTGTGGAGGTCCATTTCATAACAAAGCTCCTCAATGGCATCCAAAGCGACCTGTCATAAATGATGGCACTCAAAACAATTAGAGAACGCCGTATTTGTGTCAAACCCGTAACTGAGATAGGAAATTGTCATTGAATCAACACACGATCAAGTGTGTGTGTGCACTTACAGAGCATGTCTTGATTTTCAAGTGCCTTTCCATCCCGCCTGGCAGCAGGAACAGCTGTCTTTTGGAGCTCCGCCCTGCCTGCACATACACAACCCATCACAACGCTGTTGTTCAACAAAGCCACACTAAATGACTGCTTTTGGGAATGTATCCGAGTACCAGGGATAGGAGAGAGACTCTCGACACTAACCATCATTGCTTTTAGTTCCATGCTGTTGGGATACTGTACGCGTCCTCCGTACTGAAATGTTTTCCTCAAATTTTGCTCACATGCCTTGGCAATACCTGTACACAAATAACACAGAGAATGTGTTGGATGGTTGGCGAAGAATGACTTTGTGGCCATAAGAGGCGCCGATGATGGACGACTGTTGGGTGGATGTGCGATTGACTTCTGAATAAATGGATGGAACAGAAAAATGTTCTACCTTGGTACTGCAATCCAATGCTGACACTGGCGTTGTGTAGAAAGCTGAAGAGAAATGGCTTCATGACGTGTGAACAGCGATGGAAAGCAGTCAGGATGTACAAGAGCCTCCACCCTCTCTGGCAACTGTCTCTGCGCCATCAAATGCAAGCAGACAGTCTTGTAAAACAAGGACCCCCGCAGTTCCTGTGCGCGTGTCACGGGTCTTACGGTTTGGAGCTGTTGTTGGCAGTGACTTGCTTCATCACCTGGCAATAGGCTTCATCTTTCATCAGGCCGTGATCAGCACTTAACTAAAAAAAACACACATGCGTGAACAAGGATACTGGATGTATGACATCAAACAAGACATCGTTTGCATTGATTACCGTACCTTCAGTATAATTGTGACAAGGTCCTGTTCAGTTTGACCTTTCAATGGCAGATCTCCCATGAACTTCATTACAGCTGGCAGCAAACATTGCATACGACATTGTATTTAAAAGTGATTGCTTAAACTAGCAGACGTAAGTCTTCTCTTACCTGAGGAGATGTCGGCGGCCACTCTGTTCATTGAACCGTCTGAGAAGTCAATCAGAGACTCCTGGAGTGGAGACTGGAATGCAGAAGGCAAGTAGGAAATACCTGTAAAATTGCACGTAGACCTGAGGTGCATTAATCGAAAGGTTAAATGAATCCAGAGGATCCTAAAGAAAGCGGACCTTGGAAAATTTGATCATGTCAGCTGGTTCCCTTCCCGCTCTCCCCTTTTTGGCTTTTGGATCACTGTGGGCACGATAATAGCAAAAGTGTCAATCCAAACGTGTCTGGGTTTGATCGTAAAAATCCTGATGAGGTGTCGTACTTCCTGTTTCTTTGTGCTTCTCTGAAGTACCTCTTGGCAAACTCGGTCATGTGGTACTGGCTGCCATACTGCAACATATCATCCATTGACTCATCTGGCCTCTCCACATAGGTGTCCTTCACTACCTGATACCATAAATCGCGCCGCGTTATTCTTGCACTCAATAACCACAACACCCGAATCAAAAGTTCTGCCATTACAAAGATAAGAACGATCGGTTTTGATTGTACTGCGCTAGGATTAAACACATTCATACTTCTGTCGTGCGGTCAAGCTCTTGGGCCGCAACCGCTGAGCCCAGCGCTACGGCAACAGCAGCCGAGGCGGCGACACGACCTTGTCTGTCACGAGGTTCCGCCCTCTCTGTTGGGAGTAGCAAGAAGTCCGGAGCGGCTGCAACATATCATCCATTGACTCATCTGGACTCTCCACATAGGTGTCCTTCACTACCTGATATCATAAATCGCGCCGTTATTTTTGCACTCAATAAACACAACACCCGAATCAAAAGTTCTGCCATTACGAAGATAAGAACGATCAGTTTTGATTGTACTTTACTGCGCTAGGATTAAACACATTCATACTTCTGTCGTGCGGTCAAGCTCTTGGGCCGCGACCGCTGAGCCCAGCGCTACGCCCACAGCAGACGAGGCTTACCACTGTGAACGAATCACGTAATGACAATCCAGTCAGCAAGAAGATAGAACCCTTCCCAACTTACCAAAGTCAGGGGTGTCGCTCTTGAGTTCTTCCAGTAGCATCACCTTTTTTTTCACAATGCAGCCGTAACTTTTGCCTAAGCACACACACGTGTTGAGAGACATGACATAAAGCCCAGACCCTGTGGACTGTATAAACGTGGTTGACAGAAAGGCAATACAAGTGTGAGTCTCACCCGCCTCCAAGCCATCCATGTGTTGTAGTCTGATAATGTCTCCTTTATGGAAACTGAGAAGCGTCCTGTTCTCATTGATGCAGTTCCTCACCGCCACCACATACTCTGAATCCTGAGAAACGCAGCGTGTTGACATATAATGCATTGCTCTGTTGTACAAGGACTGAGTCCTGCCGTGCGTAGTGAAAGCCGACAAGTAATTGACACCCACCTAAAAAGGTTTATCATTACCTATAGATGCACACTCATTCAAACAAAAACTCGCTGACCTTCTTAATCTCTGTGAGGAAGTAGTCAATCATGCTCTTGACTGTGGACTGTATAAACGTGGTTGACAGAAAGGCGATACAAGTGTGAGTCTCACCCGCCTCCAAACCATCCATGTGTTGTAGTCTGATAATGTCTCCTTTATGGAAACTGAGAAGCGTCCTGTTCTCATTGATGCAGTTCCTCACCGCCACCACATACTCTGAATCCTGAGAAACGCAGCGTGTTGACATATAATGCATTGCTCTGTTCAACATTGTACAAGAACTGAGTCCTGCCGTGCGTAGCGAAAGCCGACAAGTAATTGACACCCACCCAAAAAGGTTTATCATTACCTATAGATGCACACTCGTTCAAACCAAAACTCGCTGACCTTTTTAATCTCTGTGAGGAAGTAGTCAATCATGCTCTTGACCTGCTGGGCCCTGGCGGAAAACAGGATCAGCTTCTCATTGACGAGATTGAACTCCAACATGCTTTTCGATGGCACGGACACGAACAGGATGTCCGAGTAGCTGCACAGGAAGTCACACACAAATGGAGGATGTTGTAAACTTCAAATGAAGTTATTTTTATGATGGCTACAATCCATGATGGACAAACATATTGAGACACATCGATAATTGTCCATAACAGAGATCTAATTTATACTTTCCATTTTTAACCCTTTCACAGACAGCTGTTACTACAGTTGACATTTTATCATGTTACCAGATTACAGGTTATCACCGTTGGTGCGTGAAAGGGTTAAAAATGATTATTTTGATGTCATTTTTTTAATCCCCTAATTAAGATGCACCTGTAAGGCCTCAGTACCCTGAAGTAGTCTGGAGCGGTGGAGCTGCTCCTCACCAACTTGAGTAGCTTGATGCCTTGATGTGACACAGACAACACCTGCACTCCCGTCCCCACACTGCCCTGCGAGACACATCGATAATTGTCCATAACAGAGATCTAATTTATACTTTCCATTTTTAACCCTTTCACAGACAGCTGTTACTACAGTTGACATTTTATCATGTTACCAGATTACAGGTTATCACCGTTGGTGCATGAAAGGGTTAAAAATTATTATTTTGACGTCTTTTTTTTTTTTAATCCCCTAATTAAGATGCACCTGTAAG